GAGAGGGGGGAGGGTCAGAGGGAGAAGCAGACTCCCCGCCGAGCAGGGAGCCCGATGCGGGACTCGATCCCGGGACTCCAGGATCATGACCTGAGCCGAAAGCAGTCGCTTAACCAACTGAGCCACCCAGGCGCCCCACAAAAGTATCATTTTAAACTGCCTTGAAATATAAGAATGTTACAAAAAAGGGTCATCTAACTATTCCCTGCCTTTCCCAGTAACTCTAAAAATAAACCTTGATCACTACTTTAATCAATACTCACATCTTGATTATATTCCAAGAAGACATGAAAATTTAAATCTTTTCTCAAAATAGGATGTGCTGCCACACGACATAGGAACACTTCATGCATTGCAACAGTCTTCTTGAATATTGCCAAATATTCACTAGAAACAATACACAAAATTAAAGGTAAAACACTGCATCAACTAGAAAATCATCTGCAACAATTTTTTCAGCAAATACTCTGAATTATACTAAAAGCAGAATTAAAGATATAAAGATATAATCCACATAAACAAAGATTTTAGTTGAACTGTTAATAAAATATATAAAACCCAGCTCTGAAAAGGCTTCATGCTAGTTAATAGTATTTATTATATTTAAATGTTAATATTTTTAGGTTTTATGAACCTTTCTTCCTATGCAAGTTGATGTTAAAGTAACTATAGAGGGGTTCGTTTTCAGCTCCAGAGAAAGTATACTACGAGTTATTCAATACAATTTTATGACTCAATTTCTAGATAATTACTGCATTTAAACACTTTTATAAAAAAAAAATAAAACCCAATCCTCAGTAAACATATTTTTGACATTAATAATTATTTTCATCTAATGACCCAAACACACAAGAAAAAAGCATACCGCAGAGAGACTAATTTTTGTCATTACATTGAAAAACTGTGTTTAAAATATTTTAATATCATCAGTGAATCACAGCGATCGTATAGTAATATATGTCAGTTTGAAAAAAAGAAACACTCAAGGAAAAGGCCCAATATTCTTGCTTCAACTACGTGCAAGGAGGATAAATTTTACATACCAGCAAACCAGCAGGACCAATGTTGGGAGAAGTTTGATCTCTGTGAGGGTAGTCATTCAGTGAAGACAAAAAAGAAGGATGCAGAGGATGGAGGTAGCAGTAGAATAAACCCAAGGTTCTCTGTTATCCAACCCCTAACCAGACCACAAAAGAATCATGATCAGGGCCACTGGAAAACCACAGATTCTTTAATATTAATGTGCTCTGCTAATTTCCAGTTTTCAGTTTTATAACTATAAAAGTATAGATTTCTGTCTGCTCTCAAGACTATTGCTTGCACCCAGCATGGACAAAAATCTTAAAATACCTGGCACCTTACACTTTGACAAAAAAGATCTACTTTGCTAATTTATCTTGTCAAATGAGTTTAGCATTCTGAAGAGGAGTCTAGTAGCCATGTGGATAGACGCTTAAAAGCCAAAACTAAGTGGAAGAGGAGAAAAGGAAATGCATGAAGAGGAGAAATGGCCAGAAAAAGAGTGATGGAAGTGATGATGATGCAAGGAAAGTTATTTCCTTGTATAGCTCCCAAAATACAGAAAAACAATGTACTGCAAATCTAAAATTATTCATATGTCTAGTAAAAGGGGAAAGATTTGGTATTTTTAGCAAGTATGCTAAAAATAAAATAGAAACTATCTCAAATTTTTTCAAGGATTTAATACAATTTCTAGTATATGTGAAACTAATAATCATTTAATGAAAACATTTTAAAAACTATTCTCTTGTTACTTTGTTCCTATTCTTTTTCCTTCAGCCAGAAGCCAGAGACAGAAAAAAAGAGGGCAAAAATTACACACACATGCACACACACATTTTTTAAAAAAGAAAATAATATATGCAGAGTTGCTCAGTGCATATTTCTATGAGAAATAATAGAAGTTTGGGTAGTATGCACATATCGAAAAAAGAAAACTAGGTTGGCAATGACTAAAACCTTGTAAATAAAAAACAAAGCAAGTTACATTCTGCTTTAAAAAGTATTTCCCTTTCTACTATTTTTAAATAAAGTTTTGGATCCTCTGTTTTTAATTTTCAGAGTCTATTTAAAACATTAAAGAATTTTACAATACAGACAATTATTCTATAATTTTCCTGTAGGCTCTGATCATGATCATTAAAACTGGTTGTTTGGCTTAAACCTGCATCTTTCAGAAAGGGTCACTGTGGTGAAATGATTAAAAGGATGGGATATCAGAGAGCACAGAAAAAGGCATTAAAACAAGCACAATTAACAAAAGCAACAACAAAAATCACATACGCTTCCAGTTCCTGTTTCATCTTTGTGAATTCTTCCTTTGTCATGGACCCTTCTCCTTCTCCAAGCTTCTGCAGTTTTTCCCTTGAAGCATCAAAATCAGGTCTTGGTGGTGCTGGTGGGATCTGTAAGAGAACCAAGTCACTAATTTAAAGACTATTTTCTTTTTCACAGCAGTTGTACTACTGCCACCATAAAAGACTGTATCTGGGAGAGCTAAAAACATCCTGAATGAACACGACACCAGGAATATCCCAATTCAGGATAGAGAACTTGATTAGGTCCTTTGCACCAAGGAAGAAATACAGCAGAACACTATTTTCTAGTATAAGAACACTAGTTTCCAAACTTTAATCTGCAGATTCCTATGTGGCAACTTAGAGTCCTCAAATGTATATGCACATTAAGCTCTGACTATACACTAAAAGAAGATGCATACCATTTTTCAGAAGTATGTAAATGGTTTGATTAAATACAAATATATTTTTTAATTAAAGAATTCATAGTAGCTTTATGCTATGCTATGTTTTTAAAATTCATGAATGCCAAGAGTATGATCTAGCAAGGAATGTTAAAAAGGGTTCCTGAATTGGAGGAGTGTTATCAGAAGAAGAAAGCACTGACTTAAAACCAAGAGAACAAGACAGGGATTAATGACTAACATCATTCTATTCACTCGCAGTGGGTAAGTAAACACTTACCTTAAATAAAAATATAAGATCTAGAAGAGACATATCATTCAAGGGAAGGATAAAGAAAAAGTTTATCTTAAGAGGAAGGGCCTAGAAGAACAGTTAAGGGGAAATGATGGAAAGTAAAGAAAGCAAGAAGATAAGAGGAAGAACAGGTAAGTAGGGGAAAGCTAAAGAATGAATACAAGAGAAGGGTTATACTTGAGGAAAGCCATAGGGAAGGAAGCATCAAGTACAGCCGAGCACACATTCATGGATGCCCATACACCACATCTACTATGTGCCAGGAATGATGCTGAACAATGTGCATATAAAGATAAATAAGACATGGTCCTTTTTTTTTTTTTTTTTTAATCCAAGAAGGGGGAGCTTCAGGCAGAGGGAGAAGCAGGCTCCTCGATGAGTAACGAGCCCGATGAGGAACTTGATCCCGGGACCCTGGGATCATTACCTGAGCTGAAGGCAGGGGCTCAACCAACTGAGCCACCCAGGCGTCCCTAAATAAGATACGGTCTTGATCTTTGAGGAGTGTTTAGTGTGTAGAAGGACATGGTAGTAAGAAAATGCCATTAGGTGAGCACTGTGAATTGTGTAAGACGGTTGAATCACAGAGCTGTACCTCTGAAACAAATAATACATTATATGTTAAAATAAAAAAAGAGAAGACAGTAGGAAGGGAAAAATGACGGGGGGAGGGAATCGGAGGGGGAGACGAACCATGACAGACTATGGACTCTGAGAAACAAACTGAGGGTTTTAGAGGGGAGGGGGGTGGGGGATGGGTTAGCCTGGTGATGGGTATTAAGCAGGGCACGTATTGAATGGAGCACTGGGTGTTATACACAAACAATGAATCATGGAACACTACATCAACAACTAATAATGTAATGAATGGTGACTAACATAACATAATAAAATAAAACTAAAAAAAAAAAGAATTAGACAAGATGAGGAAGAAAAGGTGGAAATAACATGGGAAGAGAAGGAGGAGCTTCCAAGTTGGCGAAGACACTGACATGCTGGAAGGTGGAAGGTGGTACACCTGCAGAACATGAAAGTTCTGCACCAACCCCCTCTCCCTATACCTTGTCCTATGCATCTCTTCCTTTTGGCTGTTCCTGTGTTGATTCTTTATATAAACCAGTAATTTTTTTAAAAGAAAGAAAAAAAAGGCGGCACTGCCAGTGGTCCACCAAATTCTGAGTTTTACAAAGAAAAAGCAAATTACTGAGAAGGAGTGTTGCCATAAGGATGGAGACAGAATCAGTTCAGGATGATTTCAAGGAGATCAAATGAAACTAAATTTCAGGAATCTGAGTGTGGTCAACAGCTGAGGCACAACACCTAATGCATACTTAGATTAGATAACCTCTTAAGGAACCCTCCAACTCTAAATATCTGTCTACCTAAGGGTTCAAAATGGGTATGGTTTATAACATCCCCTTAATCTCTAGGAAAAGCCCATTTCAATTCCAATAAACAGTAAGAATTTAAGTTTAAATGAAGGAGCATAAGATATCCATATCTCCACACTCTCAAACTAGACAATTCAGGATAAAAGGTGGTAGTCAATTGCGTTTTGTAACTGACAATTTTTAAAAATCACAGCAGTTCACTAAAATGCTAAACAAGATTTAACACATAACAAAGTATCTAAAAAGTTCCTACAAAATGGGATTAAAATGGAACCCCAACACTTACAATGTAACCCGCATAGTCTTCATTTTCAACGAAGGAATCATGAAGCCAGATAAATTCCTCATGTTGTCGAACAACAGAAAACTCATTTTGTTTAAAATTTGGCAATGAACTCTGCAAAGACAGAGATTCTCTTGAAGAAAAATCAAAATTGCACTAAAAAGCTTTTAATAAACATTTTTAATCTTATTTTCTTAAATTAGTCTTATATGAATGATTATCAGTACTTTTAAACTCTATTATGAAAACTGAGACACCCAGAAAAAATTATCCTGGGATCTTTAAGAAAGTAAGCTGACAGCCTCTTATTATATTGTATTGCTACCATTACTTAAAAGTTATTAATATATGTCAAACTCAACTACTCAAAGGAAAATAAATTTAAGATCTGAAAATGTGCCTGAGAACTAAAATCCAAGAAGAAAATAATTTTTAAGACAGTAATTTATTTAGTTTTAAAGTTTTATTTATTTGAGAGAGAGAGAGAGAGAGAGAAAGAGGGAGGGTCGGTGGGGGGGAGAGGGACAAGCCTGAGATCATGACCTGAGCCGAAATCAAGAGTTGGAGGCTTAACCAACTAAGCCACCCAAATGCCCTCTAAGACAATAATATAATTAACTGAAAGAACAAAACAAAATTGAAAACAAGAATACTGAAACATGTTAATAAGTCTAGAGAAAATTAAATTTGCATTACATCTGTGATTAACTCTTAAATGTTAACCTTTAAAAAGCATATTAAAAAAAGTACATTCCCTAAAACTGTTTGTTAAAATAAAAGCAGTGAATTATAAGCTAAAATATGGTTTCTTTTTTTTTTTTTTAAAGATTTTATTTATTTATTTATTTGAGAGAGAGAATGAGAGAGAGAGAGAGAGAGAGAGCACATGAGAGGGGAGAGGGTC